ATGGACTCAAAATTGAAATCTTTCAAGAAAGTGAGGCGGCACAGGAGGCACTCACTCATCTCTGCCAAGAAATTTGGAAGACAACTATCTGGCCGACCATCATACATACCACCACCATTATCAACAACACCATCAACACCACCACCATCATCAATGCCACTACTGTTACCAACACCACCACTATCATCATCAATACCATCACACCCCCAACACCATCCATACCATTACCATCATCATCAACACCACCATCAATACCAACAGTAACACTATGACATTATCAACAACATCGTCATCACCACTGCCCCCACCACCACCACTAACACCACCATCGTCAATTCCTCAGTGACACAAAAGGATGACAAGAGGCTCTAAAGTGAGGTGTGTATTTGAGCACACGTATACACATTTGCTGTTCACCCAATGCCACAATAAAGAATTGAAAAGATTGTTGGTGGAATTGGATGCCCTTCTTTTCACTTTGTCAACAACTAAATCTTCAAAACAAGGTTTTCTGGATAAAAAAAAGGCAAACAGGTCATCTGGAAGCCCTGTTTTTGCAAACTCTTGGGGCTGCAGGTTTCCTAGGAAATAAACATGGCCTTTAGTTGAGTACATGCCCTTTGCCTTTAGTTGAGTAGAAACCATTTGCATGGTTTGTCCTCCACTAAAGGTCAGTGCTTTGAACTCATCCAGAGGCACTGCAGAAGAAAGGCCTGGTGATCTGTTTCTGTAAAGATTACAGTCAAGAAAATCCTCCTGTTAACACAAAGGGTGGCCATGATTTAGAATCCACTTGACAGTAATGGGGTTGGTGATTCAGGAGGTTTTGGTTAATAGCCCCAGATAACCTCTAAGCTGTTCTGTGCCACGTGGCAAGTCTCTTCTTCCTGGGTCAGAGTTTCTCTGACATTAAAACAATGGACAAACTCTCTGATGCCCTATATTTCTCCTGCCCTCACAGTCCATGATTCTACATGTTGGGGTTTTTCTAAGTTGTAACCAGCTATGTTAGGCCTCATCAGAACAGGAGGCAGGCAAGTTTGGCCCACTAGGTCTGATTTCATTTCTCTTTGTTTTCTCCTCAGGCTTCCCTGTGCTATCTGTCCTCCCTTGGGGTATCGTCCGAGCTCAGCTGGAGAACACTGGGTAGGTTGTTCATCTGGTTTTACACTTCCATGAGCCAGTGATTCCCAGATGTGTCCCAATATAAGGAAATGCACCATCTCCCAAAATATTTCACCCTCTCTTGTTTTATTCATCTCAAATACAGAAACTTTAGGAATGTAGATCAAATGATCAGACTTACTTACAGTAATTAGTTTATTCATTTAATTACACATAGAAATTAGCACAAAGATGTTGCACAAGTTAGTGGGGACTCTGGGTTATAAGTACAGGCATGATTATTACTCATAGTGGGAAGGGGTAGGAAACCGTAAAAACAAAACAAAAAAACCTGAACGTTCATCAATATGAGAGTCACTGAAAAAAATTGCCATGTACTTATATTGTAGAATATTATGAGGTTATTTTAAAAAGTTCTGTATCTTTTGACTTCTAGGGACTCAATTTCAACAGCAATGTTAAGCTTGCTATGATCTCATTTTCCCCCTCCAAACAATCCCCACCACCACTACCAAAGAAACACACAACCCTATATAATTAAGGCTATGTCTTTATGTTTGTTTGAGTTTAGAGAAAGGTACAGAAGAATACACACAAGGCTGTTAACACTGAAGAGCAATTTAATGGCAAGAAAAGTCAACAGTGTTAGTAATGACTAGACCTGACTTGAGTTCTCTCTGTCCCTTTTCGCAGAGGGAGACTGATTGGCAGAAAGAAGGCTTAAGCATGGGCATCATTCTTCCGCAGGGCATGAGACTTTTCCATTGTACCTGGTCTTGTTTTTAAGTCCTCTTGCTTATTCCCCTTAGGTGCTGGGGAACCAATGGGAACAAGCTAATCTGGTGGATCATCCGAGGACCTGTACTACTTTGTATAACAGTAAGGATCATCCCATCCTCCTTTTCTTCTCTGAGTTTCTCAGCCATGGAACACTCCCCATCACATCTCAATTCTCAGGGCCAGAGTTCAAATGGACTAGTCGCCTTGCAAAGGAAAAACTAGTCTATGAGGAGGATCTGCTGAATGAGAAGTCAGCTAAAATCTACTGTTATTCTGTGTTAGGAACAAAATTCAGGGTTCCACCTTAAACTCCTTCTACCTGGTCTTCAGACTCTGTAAAGGATCATGTCAGTGATCCTGTATTGAAAGGATGTGAATCCTGCAAGGTCCCGGGGATGCAGGACTGTGGGTTTGCATCTTAACAGATTCACAGGAGCATGGAAGAGGCTGTGCGTTCTTTTGTTAGCCGTACAACACAGATGAGCAATACTAACCCAAAGCTATGAAGAGAGTTAGGATAAGGAGATAGATCTACTTTTGTTGCCAAACCAAAACGAGGGCTTGCCACCTGTCACTGTAGTCAGTCACAGAGATAGGGAGAGATCCGATACAAACTTTATTAACAGAAAGCCAGCAGTCTGGAGGATGGTGAGAATAACTTCTCAAGACTGTCCTTCCCATCATGAAGGGTGGGCACATTATATAGGGTAAGTTACACTTGGATTTACACTTAATCTATTTTAACATCAAGATAGCACCTTTTTGGAAAAAGAAACAATAAAGCAATAAACATCTTCAAGCATTCTACCTTTACAGAAAAGGAGACAATCAGGCAATAATCCTTTTCAAACAATTCACCTCTTAGGATCCAAGTTGCTTAGTTCCTGAGATAACTATCTGGGTGGGCTTAAGCACATCCTGTTCTTGAACACTTCTAGGAACATAAGGTCATCTCAGCTAATTTTTAACTAACTTCCCCATTTGCAAGGTCTTCATTTAGCAAGACTTAATGACTAAAGTCTTGGTGTGGCGCTGTGGGTTAATGCACCAAACTGCAAAGCCGTTTGAACTGCAAGGTTGGCAGTTCAAGCCCACCAGCTGCTCCTCAGAAACCCTATACAGGGTCATTATGGGTCGGAACCGACTTGATGGTATTTAACAACAACAACGTTTTGTTTAGGTCAGTAGATCCAGGCTATTGCTTTGAGATCTCAAGGAGGAAAGATCTTCATTTGTTGTTGGTCCAGAATATTTGGGATGAGGAGGAGCTGTTCAACCCAGAGTCATGAAGCCCTCTTAGATAATAGTGAGTGAGAACCGAAGCTGTCAAAGAATCTCAGAGAAAGCATAGGGATGTAGCAGAGAGTTGGAAAGATTAGCAAGTTCTACTCAGGGGGCCAGCCTAGACACACTGCCATCACCTCTAAGTGCCTGCCAGGTGCTCAGCCCACCTCTTCTCCCAAGGGCTTCTTAGCTTTCTGATTTTTCAAATTTATGTAAGTAATCTGATGTCTTGGCTGCTAATATTGCTGCTATAACAGAGTTACCACAAATGATTGGCTATAAAGAACAGTCATTTATTTCACATAGTTCAGGAGGCGAACAGTCCAAATCAGGGTCTTGTTCATGTGAACTTCCTCTGTGGACGCTCTTCTAGTCTCTGATGTCTGCTGGAAATTCTTGACATTCCTCTCTGCTTATTAACATTGCTAACCTGCCACCTCTCTCCCATGTGTATTACAGCACCTACTGTCCAACCTCCACTACAGCTTAGTAACGTGTAGCAGGGCACCCTACATACCAATGCCTTTCCAAGTGTATGTTAAGTGGTAATCTTTCCACTTAATGTTGTTGCTATTAAGTGCTGTTGAGTCAGTGATCCTGTATTGAAAGGATGTGATGACTCATAGCATCAGTATCCCATTAGAAACTCAGATTCTCAGGCCCTATCCCAGACCAAGTGATGCACAATTTGCATTGTAATAAGATTTCCAGGCTTGGGATGCACATACGTTTGTAAAGCACTTTGTCCATACCAGTGATTATTAAAATTGATTGCCAGTGAGAAACATCTGGTGAGCTTTTAGAATATACTGATGCCTGGGTTATACCCTTACATCAGTTAATGTCAGATATCCTAGGGATAAGGCTCAAGCAGTTGTAACTGAATTATACAGTTTCTGGTGATTCTAGTGCATGGCCAGGGATGAGAACCCTGTTCTGAGACTTGCTGCTCTGTCCCCCAACGTCTGACGGACCCACGTTCTTCCTGGCTTGAAAAGCCCTGCTGCTGCTTTGTACCTGGACTGACATTCACTTCTACCAGGTTAAAAGAATGTGTTCCATCTTCTCACCTTGGATAAAGTATCTTTATATGTTGTTACTTCTACTACTACAGCCCTAGCCAGCTCCACAGAAAGGAACCCAAGTACCTTAGCTCCAAGTGGACTGTTCACCTTCCCCTGCAAATCATCTCCTCCTGCTCTCCCCACTTAGTGAATGATACTGCCATCTAGTCCTCTGGTTATTCAAGTCCGAAACCTAAGTGCCCTCCTGGCTTCCATTCCCTTTCTCCTTGCAGTTTCTACTCAGACATCAAGTCTTGTCACTTCTGCCTCTATGCATTTCTCCAAACCACACCTATCTCTAACCCTGTAGCTGCTGCTCTTGCCAGGATTTCATCAGCAGATCTCTGCAGAAGCCTTTATTTGGTCTCCCTTCCTTCGTTCTTTCCTTCTCTGGTACTTCTTCTATATTGCAGCCAGAGCAATCTTTCTTGAAGACAATTTTGTAGTATCTCCTTCTGCTTGTAACTCTTTCATGTCTCAGTATTGCCCTTGGGCTTGATTCTAAACTGTTATAGTGGTTAGTGTTGTCCACACATCCTCATCCCACTCATCCAGCCACTCCAGGTTGTGGGGAAACTCAAAGGCCTCCAAATCCATCATGATGTGTCATGATTTTGCACATGCCTTCTCAACTTCTGGAATACTGCAATGCCCATCAGATGGGCTCATGTCTGTCTGGTTGATAATTACTCCTCTTTGGAGATGGAGCCCTTTATTAATCTATTTCCCAAATTTAGGACCATCAATGAGCATGCCCAGAAGGAACAATTTCATGAGAACCTGTAGTTCTATACAGATTTTAGAGAGATAACTGCTAAAATATTGTCATTTGTTTCTATGGGGCTTGGGCAAAAGGACATAGGTTTCAGTAAAAATAGGAACTCTTTTCCCTTGGTCACAAGAAAGCATTTGACCATGAACTGATAAAACGCTGATGTGGACCCTAAAGAAAAGGTTTGGATTCTTCATTTCTGTTGATTTCCAAGAAGAAAATCTGTCCTGAAGAATAAGGAACTGAAACTAAAACCTTTCCAACCTGTAGGATGCTATGATTTTGCACACGGGTTTGAATGGGCCCTTGTCATTGTTATTAACTGCCATTGAATTGATCCTCAATTCTTGGCAATCCCTTGCATAACAGTACGAAACACTGTTCTGTCCTGAGCCATTCTCCATCATGGGTTGTGGATCAGATTGTTGTGATCCATGGAGTTTTCTTTGGATGCTTTTTGAAATTAGATCACAAGGCCGTATTTCCTAGTCCATCTTATTTGGAAGCTCCACTTGAAACTGTTCAGTATCATAGCAAAACATAAGCTTCCACTGCCAGATGGGTGAGGTGCATTGGTTGAGACTCAAACCCACATGAAAGGTGAGAAATTTTCCACTGGTCGGTCCATCAGTGCCCTCTTATGAAAGGGAGGAAATGAAAGGATGTACGCGATGAGTTGGTACCGACTCGATGGCACCTAACAACAACAACAAGATAAAGTGAAAGAACTCAGGATCCAAGGCTCCATCACTAACTTTCTGTGTATCCTTTGGACAAGTTAGCTGACCTCTCTGGGCTTCTGTTTCAGGTTTTGATTTGTGGTTCAAAGTTCAGTGCTTGTCCTACTCATTAACGGAGCTCCTATTCATTAACATTATGGAAGTAAGGAGTTACAAAATAGGATAGTTACATCAGATCAAGCTGTATCCATCAAATCATATCACGGGGGAGATTGTATTCTATTAGGTCTCATCATTTTAACTGCTAAACCACTGAGAATCCTGGCCCACAAAACCGTAACTAGCACAGATGCCAAAGAAGGGTCAAGAAGAATGTTGCATCTGAGAATGCATTCTGTCCTGTCTAGGACATAGACAAGGGCCTTATGTGCTGGAAGTCCTCAATGCCCCTCACTTGGTCACAGAATCTGAGTGTTGGCTGGGTTCGTAAAAAAAATCTCCCCATCTACCCCCATTCCTGCTTGTGTACAAAATGAAGAACCAAAAGTAAACAAGTTGCCATTGGGTCCAACTCATGGTGTGTCAGAGTAGAACTGTGCTCCAGAGGTTTTTCTTGCTGTAATAGTTAATGGAAGCAGATATCCAAGTCTTGGGTCCAAACCGCTAACCTTTTGGGTAGTAGCCAAGACCTAAATGAAGAGCACACAAGCCTAGAGAGAGAGAGTTTCCATGGCAATCTGAGCTGGTACTACTGTTAGGTCGCCTTGAGGAAGTGTTCATCCATATGACCAATTGGATTACTCCCATTTTCTCTTATTTGGTCTCTGGAAGACACAATGAATAGCGTATCAAAATGCTTTTCATTACGACCTCTCTCTTCTTTTGGGACAGTCATGATTGGAAGTAATTTGCTGAAATCTGTACTTATCCCCAGTTAAGCTTACATTATAAGAAAAAAGACTGTGTTCAACACATCTCTAAGCCAAGGAAGGACACAACGTTTTCTCTTTATGATGAAAAACAGATATCCCATTAAGAGGGATAGATTACTTGGTTACACTTAGTTTGCACTTGAATGTTCTGTTACTAAATATTCTTTGTTTGGGAACCTCCATCATTGCTGTTGGCATGTTTTCTGTTTTTGACAAATAGCCTCTTCTCTGAAAGTCTAGGCTTTTAGCATCAAGTATTGATTTTTCTGAGACCAATGAAGCAAGAAATAACTGGTTAGAAATGATACCCTTTAACTACATATTGAAACACAAGCTATAGACTCCAACATGTACCTAAGATATTATT